AAATGTCCTTTAAATATATAATTAAAATACCTAAAATGTAGTTAGACTGACAGTGGTTGTTCTGAGAATGTCTTGCCTCTCAGGAGTGTCTAGATCTGTGCAGATCCTTCTCCCTAGCTCCAGGCAGGTGCTGCTCCGCACTCCTCATTGGAGACTAGTTGGACTCCTTAGCAGTTTATTTTGAAGCATGTGGTGTAAACCAGATTTTCTCTTGACCCATTGTTTTCAGTCAGCATGAGTCTGAGACAAATGCATGTTGTTTCAGAGGTCAGTAGTTCCGTGGTGCATTCCTTGGCATGGAAGTGCCACAGTTGGTCTACCTGCTCACCTGATGGTGGGTACCGAGGTTCCTTCTCCACCCCATTTTGGCTGTTAACTCATAAAACAATTATAGTGAACTTTGTGTACAAGAATTTGATAGACAGGTTTTTGTTTCTCTTTGGTGAATAAGTAGGAGGATCAAAGGCTTAATGTTTAATAAATTACAAGACTAGGACAGGGAGGAGCACTTGTTGCACAAGCATGAGTACCTGAGTTCAGATCTTAGCACCTGATAAAAAGTTCAAATGTGGGTGCCTGTAACCCCAGTGCTGAGCCAGGGAGAAAAGGAGGCTCACTGGGGCTTACGGCCACCAACCTTGTTAGCTCCAGGCACAATGAGAGACCCTGTCTACAGGGAATAGGGCAGAGAGAGATAGAAAAGGACATCCCACATCTTTCTCAGGCTTGCATGCCTGTGCAGGTACACTAAAATGCATCTGCACACATGCCAGTACCTACACACACACACACACACACACACACATGAAATTATAAGGTTGTTTTGAAGGCAGTTATCCCCTTTTAGTCTTTTCCTGTTCGTATTATTAAAATACTTATGGCTGTTTTAAAATAAGTTATATTATCTGATGTTTTCCTTTTTCAGTTTTTATCATGTATGTATAGGAGCATGCACACTGTTCACATGGTCTATCTTTTTCTGTCTGTTTACTTTCAGTCTGCCTGTGTCTTTATATGTAACATGTCTTTCTGACAGGCTTGTAGCAGACATATACCACGGTCTTACTCTTGTACCCATCCTGTAAATCTCTGCCTTGTAATTGAGGGTGTAAGACCATGAGCACAAATTGGATTATAAAAGATTTAAATTTAAGCAGCTGTCTTACTGCTTGTTTTCTGTTTGTCCCATCTGTGTTTGCTTTCCTGCTCTTAACGTTTAGTCCTGTGGATTAGCCGATTGCTTTTTAGTATTCCATTTTAATCTGCCTGCTGTCTTTCTGGCTTGTATCTCTTTGCATTTATTTTACTGGTTACTGTAGTGATCATAGTATGCATATATAAATATATATAATGTAAATATAAGTAAATATATATAGAGAGAGAATCTAGAATTAACTTTGTGTCATTTCACTCAATATAAAAGGCTTGCAACCATATTAGTCTCTCTATCCATATTTGAATCTTTCTCTTATAATTATTGAAAGTATTATACTTATGCACATTGAAAACTCCTCAGGGCTGGGGAGGTGACTCAGTCAGTAAAGTGCTTGTCTTGCAGGCATGATGACCAGAGTTCAGTCACCGCAGTACAATGTAAAAAAGCCAGCTGTGGTGGCATGCACACCTGTACTCCCATTGCTAGAGAGACAGAGATAGATGGATCCCTGTGACTCAGTGGTGAGCTAGCTGGGCCTACTTGGCCAGTTTAGTGAGGGACCCTGTCTGAAGAAATAAAGTAGGTGCCTCCTAAAGTATGACACCCAAGATTGTTCTGTGACCTCTGCATGTGCACGTGCACACACATACACACAGAGAGCACTACACATACACCACATAATGTTTAATTTAAAGAATGCTGACAATATAACTTTAAGGCAGTCAAATATTTTACTGAACTCAAGGCTACAGTATTATTTATTTGTTATGTCTTTATTCTGAAAATACAAATGTCTTTATCACTTCTCTCTAAAAAACATTCTTAATTTTGCTGTTGAATACTGGTGTGCTTCATCTGAGAAGATCTCTATTCTTCCTTTTTTCTTAAAAGATATTTTGGTTAATAGGTCTTTTTCAGTACTATAAAGCTGTTACTGGTTTCTTGTTTTATGATTTACTTTGTAAATCTGGTCATTGAAGTCATTGTCCCCTTATGTTCTGAATATGTTCTTGACTTTCAGAACTTCTTATCTGTGTTTGGTTTTTAGTAGTTTGGTAATAATATGTCTAGGCACGTTTTGGAAAGTTTTTTTTTAATGTGATTTGGAGTCTGCTAAACTTTTGCAATATGTGAGTTTAAGTCTTTGACCAAATTTTAGAGGCTGGGGCCATTATTTCTTCTCATGGCTGCTTCTCATGCACCTTTTCCTTTTTCTGCTTAGCACCCCAATTACGTATATCATAGACACTCCAGTACTTTCACTCAGGTCCATAGCCTTCCAATGTTTTCCTCCTTGTTGTTCAGAGTCCATGAATTTGGTCAGTTTCCTTCTCACTGGCTCTTTTCCCTATCATTTCTGCTTGCTGCTGAGCCCATCTGGAAATTTCTTGTCAGAAATTGTGTCTTTTCAGTTCTAAAATTGCTCCCTGATTATTACATCGTAGTTTCTGTTTTCTCTGCTAAGGGTTCATATTTTCATGTAGTTCAGATATGTTTACCTGATAGAAAATTCTGGATAATATTAATGTATTCACTTAAGCAAGTTACTTATCAACTGTGTTATGTTTAGACCTTACATTCCATTTCCTTTGCCTGTGGTATGGTTTGGGTCTGTCCTGGTTCAAGGATGAATCTAAAGGTTATGTGCATGGTACAAA